ATAAACTGTTGATCAAGAATTAAAATTTTTTGCTGTATACCCCCAGAGAGAGAACTGACAAACTTGGTGTAAATTGAAGTATATTTTCTTCACGTTTTAATTTTCCTGCTTTTTTTTAGATCGCTAATAAATACATTTTGCATGATTTCACATGTAAAAAAAGAATTAAAAATGTTTTGCATTTAGATTATCTATTAAAGTTCTATTATTCTAAGATTTATAGGAAATATAGAAGACTTTGAATAGAAAAGTGGTCAAAAGATATGAACAGTTTTCAAAAGAACTGCAAATTATAGAAAGAACAAATGCTCCAGACCACTAATAATAAGCAAGATGCAAATTAAAACAACTCTGAGGCATCACCGTACAAATTTACCAAAGAAGATAAAAGACAGAAAGAATTGATGTCCAGAACTGAGAGAAGCTTAGTTCACTGGTACACATTTCATTGAGCTGTGAATTAGCCCAACCATTCTAGAACACAACTGGACTATGCTGGAAAAGCTATTAAAATTGTTTGTCATCTTTAACCCAGTGCTCCCTCTAAGAATATACTCCAAAGACAAAGGAAAAAGTCCCCTATGTGCCAAAATATTCACAGCAGCACAAAGTACTGTAGAAAAAGAAAAGTGTATCTGTTGACTGGGAAGTAGTCGAACAAATTCTATTATGTGAAAAGAATAGGAATATTATTGTGCTATAATAAGCAATGAATATCAGAAAAACTTGGGAAGATTCATATAAAATGATAAGAGAACAAAGAAAGCCGACCCAAGTAAACAATGACCATAATAATGAGAAGGAAAAGGGAATTAACCAACATTAGAAGTCAGAACACCTGCCCCTGTTTGACCCCAAATGGTCAATTACAGACTGGTGGTGGACTACAGGTGTGAAATGAGACAATGAAGATGTAGGCCATGAATGTTTAAGCACTTATTAAGTGCTTACTGTGTTGTAGGCACTGTACTATGCTCAATATGTTGGTTTGTTTTGTTTCTTTGTTACAAGGAAGGATTTTATTTACCAGGATGTGGAGAAGATCGCTGGGAAGAGACAATAACATTCTCTACCACCATTACTAACATCACCCCCTCAAAAATAGCATTAATAAAATACTTGTTTTCTACAAAAAAATTTCAGTCTGGCAGACCATATTTAGCTATGTCAGGATACAATAACACTACCATCCTCTTGACTTGTACATCAGTGCTTTCCCAATTCATAAGGTGCTTTTTTCACAGCTCATAGAATCAAAGACTTAGAGCCAGAAGGGAACTTAGAAGTCACCGAGTCTAATCTCCTCCTTTTACAGAGGAGGAAACTGAGGCCTAGATGAGTTACACAACTCATACCCAAGGCCACACAACAGTAAATGAGAGTAAAGCTAGGATTCAAACACAGGTCAGGTCTTCTGACTCCAAACAGAGCTGATCCTCACATTAACTGCAGGAGGCAGGTGGAATAATTACCATCTTCATTTTACAGAGAAGGAAACAATTCAGAGAAGCTAACTGTTTTACCAAAGTTCACAAAGACTCTCCCAGCCAAGAGTTCTTTATGTCATACCATCAAGACTCCCATAATAGCAGCTCATGTGTTGTATGTTTTGCTTTATGGTTACAAAGCATGCCACATGCATGACCTCATGAGATGACTATGGAGCTGCCTTCCAACTCTGTGAGGCCACATTCTGTGTGAGGTGGTGTGGGCACTATTCCCATTTTACAGGCAAAAAGACTGAGGTTCAGTGATGCAGGGACTCAAACCCACATCTTGTGATTTCCAAGTCAAGTGTTCTTCCACTGCCTGACAATGAATGCACGTTAATTAAAACGATGAGACTCCAAATATCTATGGTTCTACATGATTATATAGCTAAGTTCTTGAAACTCAGCAAACTAAAACCTACTTTCTCCAGATTGCTTCCAAAAAAGTAACGGTCAAATAGATTACAAGGCCTCCCAAAGCATTTATGTATATACTTTTTTGTTTCTGCTCTCCTCATTTTGTCTAGAACAGTAGTTTCCAAAGTCCATAGATCATGGATCACCTGTCTACTCCAGCTTTGCTGTTTAGCATTTGATTTCACCTCTGATCTTTGTTCTTGGCTCTCAGACTTCCAAATCATCCTATCTCATCCTGGAACTTCAAGGCCTCCTCACTCCAATATCCACCCAACCCTGCAATCTTCTCTCATTGGTGAGTTCTTCCTGGAGCGTACATTTTGTGGAGGGGTCCAAGCCGGCTTTCATTCCTCTCCTCGACCTCCTCCTAACTTGTGGACTTCAAAACCATGCCTGCTCACCATGTACCTTCCCCCCCTTCCCTGCTCCCTTTTATACACTGTCTTCCCCCATTAGAATGTAAGCTCTCTGAGTGCAGAGACTGCCTTTGTTTCTTGCTTCTATTACATCCTCAGCCCTTAGCCCAGTACCTGGAATATAGCAACAACTTAATAAATGCACTCTTATTTGGGTGACAATAGACAAATCATTTCCTTTCCCTAGGTGTCAGTGTCCCATAAAATACAGACATTTAAGGACCCTTTTAGATCTAAATCATATAATCTTCTAATTGATACTGATAAAAGCCCGATCCAGAATTAATGGGAAAAATAAGCTTACCACTAGTACCAATAACAACAAAAATGATGATGATAGCTGGCATTTATATAGCACTTTAAGGTTTGCAAAGTGCTTTACACATGTTTACTCACTTGATTCTCACAACAAACCTGTGAGATAGATTCTATTATTATCACTGCTTTACTGATGAGGGAATTGAGTCTAAAAAAGATTAGGTGACTTGTCCAGGGTCACACAAGTAAGTGTCTAAGGCAGACTATGAAATCATGTCATTGTGACACAAAGACCCACAGTCTATATCTCCTGCACCACCTAGCTGCCTATTAAGGTGATAACTAGTCTTTATTAACTATCACAGGTAAAATACTAATTCATTTGTTCATTCATTCATTCATTAAAAAAAAAAGTTTTGGAGAACCCACTACGTCCATAGGATTTTTCTAGGCACCAGCAGGGAAAACAAAGCAGCATGACACAAGGTTTGTATCTGTGAGGAGCATCTATTTTAACTGAGAGAAACAAGATAACAGTGGAGTTGAAAGAGCATGCTCTCTGGAACCAGAAGATAAAGGTCTGAATTCTGTCTCTGCAACTTCTAGTCTGTGTAACCTTGGGCAAGTCATCTGCCTAACTAGTCTGACCTCAGTTTCCTCAGCTATGAAATAAAGGTGTTTGCTTGGTGGCGTGGAAAGTTTCTTTTCCAGCTCTAATTTTATAATCTTAAGATAGATACTTGCATATGAAGAATTAAACAACATATGATTAAGCACCCAGTTAACTTTATAGACAAGGAATGTGATAAGAAGGTGTTTTGTTTTTTAAAAGGTGAGATCATTGTCGGATAGAGTGGGCAGGGATGAATTTGTAAAGGATAGAAGATGTGAGCTTTGCTTTGAAGGTTTGAAAGAATTTGTTTAGGGGTAAAAGATTTCAGAAGGAAACAGACATGCAAAAATAAACCATAACCGCAGACTTTGTCATAACATAAAAATGAGCATTAAAAGAAAGCAACCTTTAGATCACTGGGGGCCTCAAAGATCAGCAGCTAGCCCTGTACCACACTTGTTCATGTTCAAATGAGTAACTCCATTGACCAAAACAAGTAGGGATTATCTCACCTACCAGCCAATGCTGTACACCTGTCTATACCTCTCATAAATAACACAATAAAATTAGGCACAAGTATAGTAGATGCATAATAGTTAGGTAAGTAACTTCCTAGGACCTAAACCTGCTAGGAACCTAAGAGAAGCTGCTTCTCAAACTTTTCCACAGTGGTAGACCTCTTTAGTTTAAACAAAAAAATTTTAGGCAGGAAGGTGTTTCAGGACAGACCTCCTTTTCAAATCTGGCCCCAGACACTAACTAGCTGTGAGACCTTATCCTCTGTCTGCCTCAGTTTCCTCATCAGTAAAATGGGGATAATAATAGCACCCCAGGGTTTTTATGAGAATCAAATGACATGTTACGTAGCACATGGTAGGTGCTATATGAATGTTAGCTATATCATCACCATCATCATTATTATTACAACTTTGGCAGAACCCTTGTAGCAAAATCTGCTACAATTATTTAAATATAAGAAACAACATAAGGTTCATTTAAAAAAAACCAAACTTGGGATGTTTCAGCATTCCTTCAGGCAGTTTGAGAAACACTGTTCTAGGGTGATCCTCTCATCCTACAGACAAGGAAAATGAAGCCCAGAGATCTGGATGTGATTTGCTCTCGGACACCCTACTGATAGTTAAGTTCCTGAAATTATAAAAAAAAGCAGTCCCTGAGGAACAACTAAAAATCATGTCAGGGAAAACATACTTTAGTATGCATATGTGTATACATATCATGGTATACATTTATACATATTATATATGATATTTTGTAAAGTATGATCAGGAAACAAGGTACTGTTTAAAAACTGCATGGCCAGAACTATAAGAGGTTAGATATGGATATAGGCATAAATGTAGATTTAGACATAGATACAGATATATTTAGAGCTAGAAGGGACCTTGGGGGTCATCTAGTTCAACTCATTCATTCTGCAGGTTGATAAACTGAACCTCAGAAAAACTAATTGGCTTGCCTAACCCACAAGTGCTAAGTATCAAAGCCAGGGCTGGAAACCAGGTTTTCTGAGTCCAAGATAAGTCAACAAATAGTTATTAAGCACCCCGTGTGCCAGGCTCTGTGTTAAGTGCTGGGGATACAAAGAAAGGCAAAAGACAGTCCCTCTCTCTTACTGTTCTTTCTTCTTTATCACAGTAAGTACTGGGACTGTCCTATCCAACCAGCATCAACAAAATACTAGGCACTTTGAACAACACACACCAGTCCACACTGTTAGACAGATGAGCTTATCAAGTCAACTAAAGAAGTGTAAGCTAGATTGAAAAGAGGATAAGAACTTACTTTTCCTAGTTGGAAACAGCCCTGGGGTGGCCGACCCGTCCTTCCTCTAGCTGTGATCTGATTTTCTTTTCCAGGTATCCTCCCTCTGAGAAATAGTGTCCTTCTCTAATAAGCCTGGAAATAGCACCAAAATCACTGGATTGACTAGGGAGAAACAATCATTATGGTTTTTTAAAGACAGAGAGAAAGAAACCGGAGTGCTGAAAAATCTCTTAGGCATAACTAGACCTAAATTAGAAAGTGACACAATTCTGGGAGCCAGCAATTCCTAAAGGCCGTGTTCCTTCTGGACAAGGAAAGCAGGACTTTCTTATGACCCTGTCTTATGTCACACAAACATCAGAAGACTCCAGAGACCTTTCAGATCCAGTCTAACCTTTTTAATGTGTCTGATGGATTCAAGCATGACAAGGACCAGAGGTTGCCCTTAGGCCTTAGCCAACATTTGTTGCTAAACCCTTAACCTGCTTAATTAAGTCTTTCCATGTTTCCATTTCCCGATTAAAGAAGAAAAAAAAAAAAGAGGACAAGCCAGGCTATTTGATATAAAATGCAGGAATCTTAGGGCCCAGTACCTTTTCTCTAGGTCACTGCTGCAGACTGGAGTCCTTGGCTGCTGGCACGGGGGTAGTAGGGAGAGAGGGAGTGATGTAGAGGGAGGTAAGCTTCTGGGACTCAACTAGGGGAACCCAGAGGTCTCCAGGACTGGCAGCTCCCCTAGAATGGCCACAGGGGAGTGTGAGCTAAGGAATAAAAGGGGCTAGGCCGCCTCTGCCTGCTGTGCTGGGAATTCCTAAAGAAAGAGGAGGAGGAGGTGGAAGGGAAGGAGAAGGCGGGAAGCTGGAGTCCCTGCCCTACAGATTCCCAGCCTCAGACAGATCGCAGCCCCTGCGGCTGCAGCTGCCTCCGGACTTCCACACCAGGTCCCAAAGACAGCAATAATAAGGATGGACTTTGCACCCGGGAGATCGATACGGAAACATCAGAGACTCCCATTCGTCCCCGGCGGGTATCACTCTCCAGGGCAAGCCGGCGGGTGGGGGTGTGGAGGCTGTTGGGAGGAAAGGAGGGGGCGTGGCGGAGGAGGAGCCCGGAGATGGAAGCGTGCCAGCCGTCAATTATCGGCCACGCCCTCTTCCGCGCGTCACTAAGACAGGCCCCTCCCCTCTCCACCGCCCCTCAGCTGGGGGGCGGGGAGACAACCGGGTGCCGGACGTCACCACGACCTGGAGATACTATTGGATAAGAGAAGGGTTGCGTGGCATGCGTGCGTGCTACAGCCAAGAACCAATCAGGAGATGCGGTCGTCGCTCGAAGAGAAGCGAGGCGCCAGTGACACGTCACTGGGAACCAATAAGGAGAGGAGGGGCAGGGAAGCGGTTCCGGGGTCGGTGAAAGATGGAGGTGGGCGAGTGGAATTTATATCTGTCCAAGTTTTTGAGGTGAGGAACCCGGGCGGGCTCGTTGGGGTCCTCCGCGGGGGTCCCGGGCGCTGGGGAGCTCGGCTCCACGGGCGCCTTCGAGGCCTGTCCGGGAACTTGTCTGAGCAGCCGCCCCGCCACCGCTTGGTCCTCGCGCGCCCTTTCCTTTGGTCTCTGGCACCCTTCCCCAGGGCATTCATAACGTAGTAATAATTCCACCGCTGCCAAGACCTTGGTAACCATTTAATCTACCTCCCCCCACTTATAAATGAGGAAACTGAGGCCCAGAGAGGTGAAGAGACTTGCCCAGCGTCACAGACGCAGCAGATGGCAACCAGGATTCGAACCTAGAATCTGACTCCCATTCCAGAGCTCTGTGCCCTACAGCCTTTGAGCAACGCTGGCCATGGCTTGCTTAGCTCCCAGAACTTCACAGATATTCTGTTTTTCATGCACTCGTTGTCAAGCCGCTGCATGGCCGAGTCCGTAAAGATTGTGTTCTCAGCTTTTCCTGGCTGAAATCTGTGATTTGGTTGCCTTCCCTTCCTCACCAGGTGCAGCACCCAGCCCCGTCTTGAGAATCCACGTCTTGTGTTCCTCTCCCAACACACCCTTCTTAATGTCGGTCTGCTTTGTCTCCTCTTCTCAGATCTTCTGTTTCCTCTACCCTTGACACTTGTTAGAATGGAAGCTCCTTAAGGGCCGGGGCTGGCTTTTGCCTTTCTTTCTATCCCCAAAGCTTAGCAATGCCTGTTCACCTTAAAGTGCCATATAAATGCTAACTGCCATTAATTGTATTATTATTCTCTTGCCCATTAAGTATGTTCCTACTCTACAGTTTTTTTCAAGAGATGCTTCAACATGTTATTTTCAGTAGTCAACTGCTTAATTAGCTTTTTTCCCTCTATATGCATTTCTTTCTGATTGATATGCATCTCCATTTCAGTTTATGATGATGCATTCATCCTGCACCAGTTTCAGCAATCTTAATGAATTTAAATCTACTAGGATCAGTTTCATTATATGGCAAATAGTTGGTGCCAGACTCCATCCTGTCTCTCAGAGATGTGTAGGGGTTATGTAGCACCATTAGGTAATGCTTGTATTGTAGGTGGGAGAGTGTGCTTTAAGTTCCTAGGATCATAGATCATAGATTAAGAGCTTCATAGAGTTAAAGCTAAGGTTCAAACCCAGCAGGTCCTCTGATTTCAAATACAGCACTCTTTCCTCAGCATCCTTGTTTACTTTACAGCTGAATTCATTATTATTCTCTAATCATGTGATCACAGATTTAGACCTTGGGAGGTCCTTAGAGATCATCAAGTCTAATACCTCATTTTAAAGACAAATAAACTGAGTCCCACTGAAGTTAACTGAGTTAAGTGGCAAGGTTACACAACTGTTAGTAGTAGTAAGCATCTCTAGTCCTCTGTTCACTTCTTTTACCATAGCTACTCCTTGATGTGTCATTTTTGATGATGTGTCAGTTTTGGTTAATTGTCTGTTTTGCCTGAAGGGAATATGCTGGATTCTAGACACTTTAGACAATTTGCAGTTGTCTAAAAATCCATATATGTAGCAAACATTTTTAGCCCCAACAAAATGTGCAGTGGGATTCAATTTAATAAAACTTTTCTGTATATTGAATGTATGGTATATGTGTTACAATTTTATATTATGTATGTGTACATACACACATACACATATACACACATATATGCTTTTGTGATTAATAAAATACAGTCATATAACAAAATTTGTTATATTATTTTTCTAAGCCCATTATTACTTGGTGTTGAATTTTTTTTTTAATTCAAAAGGGAGTCACACTTGTAAAGATTGGTTACCATTGCTCTAAAATATTAAATCTATATCTATATAAAATGCTTATGTCATCTGTAAAATGAGGAAGTTTATACTCCCTGACTTTAGTTTCAGAAACAGGGTCTAGTTCAACTTCTTCATTTTACAAATGAGAAAATTGGCCTGAGTTAACAAAGTGAGTTGTATGAGTACTGTTACTTGAAGAATCAAACAATTCTTAGCTTTGTAAATGATTATTAAATTGGACTCTTGTGTAAGAAAATGCTTCTATAAAGGCAAAGAGGTGAAAGGAGTCATATAACAAATTATGTCATATAACAAACCAGAAGAAAAATCCAGAAATTCTGTACAATCCTCCCTCCCATAGGATTCTATTTTGGCATTGGGAGAGGACTTTTCTACTATTGGAATAGTGCTGAATCAAAAGTAAAAGGTTTGGAATTTTATTGGAATTGGGGAATAAACTTGGGGAATAGTTTACCTTCCTAATTGTTTTGGTTAAGTTTTTGTTAAGATTCTATCTGTATACACTGATTCATTGTTAGAGATTCATTTCTGATAATATGCAAAGTGAGTAACCCAAGATAGACTAGTTTCCTAATTATATTTCAGCTCTCCCCATCCTCTAAAAAAAAAATCTTGACTTGACTTGTTATATCCTCAAGCCATCATCCTGTTTTCACTTTGCTTCTGTTGATTCTCCTGCAATCATCCCCTCCTTTCACCCTTTACCACCCACACAGACTATTTCAGTAAGTTTTTAATAGGTCTTTCCCCCACCTCTATTTCTCATCTCCTATCTATCCTTCACACTGCTGCCAGATTTATCCTCATTATCTTCATGTCATTCTTCTGCTCAAAACCATTCAATGACTCCCTTACCTGTGGTGTAAAGTTCATAGGACCGTAAGTTTAGAGCTGGAAAAAACCTTGGAGACAATCTAGCCCAACTGCCTCCTTTTATAGGTGAGGAAACCAAGGCCTGGAGAGGTTAAGTGACTGGTCCACAGCATTCAACCACAAGTGTAAGTGACAGAGGCCAGATTTGAACTTACATTCTCTTGGCTCCAAAGTGCAAGTTCTTGCCATTATATTATACTGCCTCACAATCTGGTCTAGTATTTGAGGCCATCCAAAATCTGGCACCACCTTTCCAGATGTATCTTTTACTACTGCCCACATATCCAAATTCAATTCAACAAGCATTTTAAAAATACATATATGGAGGACGTGCAGTTCCTTAACTCCAGGATGCCCATCCTCCCCATGCCCAGATTCCTACCTATTGAAGACCTATCACAGAATTTTCCTTCTTAATTCCAAGTGAATTTTAGGAAGCCTTCCTTGCTCCCTTCTAGTCAGTATTGACAGTCTCTCTTCAGACCTACACAACCCCTGACTTTTACTTGTCTCTTATGCACTTACATGTTATTTTGTATTATAGCCATCATCTCTCTGCTAGACTATAAGTAAAATCCATTAAAGCAGGGACCATTTGTCTAAATATTGTTTCTCTAGCAGTTAGCACAGTGCACAGAGTAGATACTTAATGATTGTTGAATTTAGTGCACTGTTGTAATACTTCCTAATGAGTTTTCCTGTTTCCTTCCTCATCCCCCCTCTATTATATTCCTTTAGCTAGCTGCAAAAATGATCTTCCTAAATCACAGGTTGGACTAAATTGTTTCCACACTCAAAAATCTCCACTGCTTCTGAATTTCTCATGGGAAAAATTGCAAAACTCCTTACTCTGGCATTTAAGGCCCTTTACCAGTCTGGCTACAACCTCTCTCTCCAGCCTTATTTTATTCTGCCCTGCTTCCTGCACTGTTCCTTCCAACCAAACTAAAATGTCCCCCCTACCCCACCCCACCCCATCTCATCCTGCCTCCATCCATTGCACAAACCATCCCTTATTCCTAGAACACACTCATTTTACATTTTTGCCTGTTGAAATACTGCTCTACATTCAAGACTCAGGTACCATCTCATCCATGAAGCTTTCCCTGATTTCTCCACCAGAAAGCAAGCTTTCTGTGTTTAGATTTCTTATAATACTTTGTGTAGACCTCCCTTTTGCCCTAATTAGATTCTTGTGTGTGTGTGTGTGTGTTAGTACCTATTAGATTATAAATGATTTTGAGGTCAAGAATTGTGTCTTTTTCCATCTGTAAACTTCTAGCACCTGGCATAGTGCCTTGCACACATTGGGAACTTAAATGTTTATTGACTTGAATCCGTAATTTCACCTTTTCCCTTCTCATTTCAGACTTTTTTTCTCCCTTCTCTTTCCTGGGCTGATTATTTGCGGACTTTTATGTTTTTGTTTGATTGTTATCCTTTTGAGAATCAGAATAATGCTACTGAGAAAGAAAGAATCAGTGTCGTTGTACAGAAATAAAAAAAACCAGAAGGTGATCGCATTTTTTCATCCATACTGCAATGCTGGCGGTGGAGGAGAGAGAGTTTTGTGGTGTGCCCTAAGAGCTCTACAGAAAAAGTAGGTATGCATCTTTCTGAGGCAAATCTCTGCATTCTGACTTGCCCTCTATTAAACGTTGTAACCTTCCCTCCTCCCCCACCCAGAAAGTTCTCCTCTGGTACCACCAATTCTCATTTTAGAATTCCCTTGGGGTACTATCTCTAGAATTCTTAGTTTCCCCATACTATTGAATTTCAGTTGGTATTGTTGGAAAACATGTTGTACTTCAACAAGGATAACCAAATTGAGTGAACTCAGGGAAGATACAATGGTTAGCTTGAAGTTTTATACCTTTTTTCCCTCAGATTTATGATTTCATTGGTGAGTGAGTTCCCTACTTCCCTGTGGTATAGAAACACCCTAGCCATCCAGCTTTCTTGCAGAACAGATTTGGAATTGTTCTGCCATTTGTATAGAATCACCTAGGGGCACTTCACTATCACTTGTCTTGCCCAGGGACACACAGCCCGTATAGATCTGAGATGAGACTTGCTCCTCGGTCTTCCTGGCTCGGAGGCCATCTCTGTTAACTGCACGATGCTCTCTCTTAGCAGGCACTTAATAGATGATTATTACATTGCTGTGGCCTGTAGGTAAGTGGTAAAGAGATTGAATAATGAAAATTACCTGCTCTAGAATCAATCATCAACATGAATTAATCTAGTCCATAGCTACCCATAGGAAATCTACCATTTCTACCAAAAAAGTTAATTTTATGAAGAATGTTGTGTGGCAGTTAGTGTATTTGGTTTTTCTTCTATTCCTTGTAAATTCTTTTTCAGAAAGAAGTGTTTCAAATATTGTTCTGTTAAGTCTTTGTAGTGAAGAGAATCCCTACTCAACCTTATTTCTCCTACTCTTCAAAGTATAGACTTTATTCAGTCAGCTCTCCTTTCTGTACTTTCCCTGCATATATTATCTGTCTGTGTCTTTGTAAGTCCTTAAACCCACACCCCTTTCTTCCCTGCCCCACCCCCCTATTCTCTGCCACCTCTTCTTCTGTGTCCAATAAATCCTAATAATCTATCAAGGCCTAATTCAGGTTCTCTCTTTTCAAGGAAGGGGCTGACAGTTCCAGCCACACTGATCACAGCCCTCTCTCAAATCCAGCAGCACCAATAGTAATATCAATCAGTAAACATTTGTTAAGTACCTACTATATGCCAGACACTGTGCTAAGTGCTGGGGATACACATATGAAAAAAGAAAGCTAGTCCTTGCCCTCTCAAGGAGCCTACAATCTAATGAAGGAAGACAGCGCACCAAAAGAAACTGCAAATGGCAGGGTGGGGGAGAAGGAGAAGTACCCCAAGAGGGGTCATGGTGGAGAAGTCACTCAGAAGCACTAAAGTAGGGCTGCCAGATGAGAAATGAGATGACTGAGCTCCTTAAATGGAGGTTTGGAGTTCTTGGCCCTCTCATTAGAGCCTGAAGGTGCTGATGAGCCCTTATAGGTCAATGAGATCATCCTGGGGGTGGGGAAGTCAGTCAGAGAAGCCCAAAGTAGTCCAGCCAGATAAGAAATGAGGAATTAACATAGTTTAACATGGAATTGGCCTCTAGGTGTTAAGCTTTTCTCCCTCAGTTGCAAACTCCTTGAGCAATAGAGATCGTGTTTTATCTTTTGTTTTCCTATTGCACTGAATAGTAGGTAAATGAATTTCACTTATTTCTGGAAGATGATTATGAACAGCCAAAACATCAAAAGTCACTATTGAATTCTTTTGTGGAAAAGAATAGCAAAAAATACTTAATAGGCAGGAACAATAAGCTGAATAGGAGATGAAATGTAATAGTGATGAAGTCCTATACCTATATTCAAAAATCCAGTTACATAGTATAAGATGAAGGTGGTGTAGTGAGGTAACAGTATGGGTAAGAAGGCCCTGGGTGTTTTTGGTGGACTACAAGCCTGATGTAAGTCAATAATGTTATATGTCAATCAAAAAAGTTAATACAATTTTAATAGGAGGAGGGCAGGGGCGTTCTGCTAGAGTTCTATTGTACTCTGCCCTGATCAGGCCACATCTGGAATATTATGTGCCATACAGGCTGCACATTTTAGAACAAACATAACTGGTGCATGTTCAGATGAAGGCAGCCTGAATGGTGATGGAAATAGACTATGTCCTATAAGAATTGGTTTTAAGAGAACACTTGGTGGATGGAAGAATGGGCAGGAGATATGCAAGCTGTCTTCAAGTATTCCAAAAGCTGTAGAGATTAGACTTCCTCTATTTTGGCCTAGAAGGCAGAACTCAGAGGAGTCTAAAGGAGATGTTAGCTCCAAGTGAGGAAAAACTTAAAATTAAGAGTCTCCCTAAAACAGAATGGGCTGTCTCAAGAGAAAATAGATTATTTCTAGAGGACTGGAAGCAGAGGCTTGATGACCATTTGTCCATGATGTTGTAGAATGGATTCTCCTGCTTCAAATATAGGTGAGATTAAACACCTGGGATCCTTTCCAATTCTAAGATTCTATGGTTCTATAACAGTTCCACCTAATTACACAAGTTAGGCCCTGAGCAAAACTATAAATGAAAGTTTTTAGTGTTGTTTTTTAAAGCCAACATTTCTGTATTAAGTCAGGCACTTTGTATTAGTATCCATTATTCGTGAAGTGCTGTGCTTGAGAAATACAAAGAAATCATTCTCAAGTTTTAAAGAGTTCGTGACCTATTTGTGAATATCCTGTAGATACTATATGAAATGACAACATTTACCAAAAAAAATTTTTTTAAGTGCTGTGAAAACTTGGATCAAGAGACATAGGATACAGGAAGAAGTTAAATCGAGTCTACCAGTAATATTAGACAGTTTATAAAACCCTGAAGACCATTAAGTAGCCTAAAAAGAACCTAATGTATGATTGAAAGACAAGCATTTCCCATAACATTTGCCAGTTTTCAATTAAATGATATTTTTTAGGTACCATGATGCAACTTATGTTGTATATACTGGTGATGAGGATGTCACTGGTGAGCAAATCCTAAATGATGCTTTCAGAAGATTCAACATCAAATTAGTCCATCCAGTGAAATTTGTGTTTTTAAGAAAACGCTACCTTGTGGAAGCATCACTCTATCCTCATTTTACTTTGCTGGGCCAGAGTCTCGGATCCATTTTTCTTGGCTTGGAGGCTCTTTGGAAGTGTGTGCCGGATGTTTACATCGATTCCATGGGTTATGCTTTCACACTACCACTGTTTAAATGTTTAGGAGACTGCAAAGTTGGAAGTTATGTCCACTATCCCACCATCAGTACTGATATGCTCTCTGTTGTGAGAAATCAAAATGCTGGATTTAACAACGCTACCTTTATTACAAGAAATTCTTTTCTCAGCAAAGTGAAGCTCATCTACTATTATTTATTTGCTTTGATTTATGGATTGGTTGGATCTTGCAGTGATGTAGTCATGGTCAATTCTTCCTGGACTTTAAACCATATTCTATCCCTCTGGAAGGTCCAGAGTTGTTGTAGCATTGTTTATCCCCCTTGTGATGTGAAGACATTTCTGGACATTCCGTTACATGAAAAACAGACAGCCTCGGAAGCTTTAGTGGTGTCTGTTGGCCAATTCAGGCCTGAAAAGAACCACCCTTTGCAGATCAGAGCCTTTGCAAAGTTGCTGGAAGAGATGGCTACAGAGTGTCCTCCTTCACTTAAACTCATCCTAATTGGAGGTTGTCGTAACAAAGATGATGAACATCGGGTAAATCAACTTAAAAAGCTTTGTGAAGATCTAGGAGTTCAGGAAAATGTGGAGTTTCAGATCAATATTCCATTTGAAGAATTCAAGCATTATTTGTCAAAAGCAATGATTGGCCTTCACACTATGTGGAATGAGCATTTTGGAATTGGTGAGTTTTGTCCTTAACTTCAGAGACCTTTCTTGGTACCTTAATAGCCACTTTTTAAGTTCTGGTTAATAATAGATTGGAGCTTTGTTCTCACACAACCCTCAAAACTGCCCCAAAAAGGTGTGGCTCCTTACAGTGAGTTCCTTTGGCTACATCACTTCCTAAACCAACTCATTCTGTGCTTTTGCTTACGTTTCCCTTCCTTGCAGTGCTTCTCAACCTAAATCAGGAGATCTTAACCTATTTGGTATCATGAAACCAATTCTATTGAAATACAAGTTTAGGAACCCCAAGTTAAGAATCCTTGACTTACACAGTTTTATGAATTCTGAGATAGACTTGCCTTATACTGAATCCTGCCCCCTCTTTGAATTTAGGGGTTCTAGTCTATTTCATATTTATATGGTACCTGTCACTGAAATCATGTAACAGAAATGGATTTTATAATCCATTTAGTGCAGTATTGCTGTTGTATACCAAATAAGCCATGAGTTTGCACACCTAAGAAAGATCCCATCAGAGACTGCTGAGGAGAATAGCGATCACTAGGCTGAAGCAAACCAAAACTCCTATACTATTCCTAATACACAGTATGTCACATCTTACACAAAAGCTATTTTATATATGCACAAATACTAACCAATAACTTGGAGTACAGAATTCATAAATAGTCTCTGGTGACCTCTGTTTTAGTGGGCATGTATAGAAAATTAAAATGTAGCACCTTTGGTAATAATTTTCCTTGCTGGTTCTTTATTCTCTAGGGGTTGTGGAATGTATGGCTGCTGGGACAGTCATGCTGGCTCACAATTCAGGAGGCCCAAAGCTTGATATTGTTGTACCTTATGAAGGTAACATAACTGGATTCCTGGCAGAAAGTGAAGAAGATTATGCTGAAACTATGGCTCATATCCTTTGTATGTCTCCTGAAAAGAGGCTTCAAATAAGGAAGAATGCTCGTCAGTCTGTTAGCAGATTTTCTGATCAAGAATTTGAAGTGACATTCCTGTCATCTGTGGAGAGGTTATTTATTTAAAAAAGAAAGAAAGAAAGAAAAAGGGGCTAGGTGGCGCAGTGTGGCCCTAAAGTCAGGAGGACCTGAGTTCAAATCTGGCCTCAGACCAAGCACTTGACACTTACTAGCTGTGTGACTCTGGGCAAGTCACTTAACCCCAATTGCCTGAAAAAAATAAATAAAGAGAAATTATTTATGTCCTGTAACTAAACATATGATTAAATGCCTTTTTATGTAAATATTTTTCAAAACTTTCATTCCTTATTTTAATAAAGTCATCCCAACAAGTCCTCAGGTATATTTCCTGCCATGGATATTTATTTGAGTCTGTGAAGAAGAGAAAATTTATCTAAATTAAAGTACATATACTTTTGTTTTAAATGAACTGTCTTATGAGAGAAAATCTAAATTTTTTGGCTTAGTTTAGTTTCTAGTCAGAAATTTTATATTTTCCTTTAAAAAATTTGTTTCAAAAATGTACTAAGAAGAAATATTTCATTAGCTAAAATTTGCCCACAATTTTGGTGTTACAAGCATTTAACATATTTTCTAATTCACCACCATTCAGCACATACACACACACACACACACACACACAATTTAGAGAGAGGGAGTTTGCTTAATTCTTCACCAATGATTGATAATGATTATAGAATTTGAGTTGGAAGGAAGTTTAACAACATCTAGTTCTATCCATACTTAAAAAAGAATGCACTACAACAGTGGGGTAAAATTTAACTAGAAAGGGATCCCTAAGGCTGTATATTGACTTAGAAAACCGCAAATTAATGTTTTTGACCTCAGATTGCACATTTCCCCATTACTTGGTAGCCTGGGTCTTGCCACTTGCAGAAGAGTTTGACACTTCTGTGGTACAACACACTCCACTGATTGGCCAGGCTGGGCTTGAAAACCTCCAGTGAGAAGCACCCGCGGCCTCCCAAGGCAGTCCTTTCCACTCTGGAGAGCCCTGATTGTGAGGGAGATGTTCCAGATACTGGGCCAGAATTGCCTCTCTGTAGCTTCTAGCGATTACTCCTGGATCCCTTGTTCTTCTCCCACAGGACAGCACTTCACGTCCTTGATGATGGCTCTCATTCCCGCCAGTCTTCTTTTCTCCAGGTTAAACCTCTCCAGTGTCTTCAGCTGCTCCTTTGGGACGTGTACTCGAGACCTTGCTCCACCTTGGCTGCTTTCCTCTAGATCAAGGCCTCTTCACCGTCTTAGTGTCCTGGACCCCTCTGGCAGCCTAGTGAAGTTTATGGACTCCTCAGAATCGTGTTTTTAAATGCATAAAATACAGTACAGGGTTTATGAAGGAAATTGATTATGTGGAAATACAGTCATCAGAATATTTTTTTAAAACAAATTCATGGACCCCAGGTCAAGAACCATCTGCTCTAGGTAGACTCCAGCTTATCAGTGCCCTTCTAAAACTCAGGATCTGAGAACTGAACACTGAAGAATGTGTTCCCACCAGGGTGGAGTAAAGGGGGCAAGGAAAGGGAGCAAGCATTTAGAACATGCGCGCTTTGTGCCAGGCACCATACTCAGTGCTTTACAAATACGGATCTCACCTGATCCTCACAACAACTCTGGGAAGTAGGTGCTATTATACTCCCCATTTTACAGTTGGAGAAACTGAGGCAGCCAAAAGGTGTGACTTTACCAGGATCACACAAATAGTAAGTGCCTGAGGCTGGATTTGAACTCGGGTCTGTTATCTTCTTATTCCAGGAAGCTTGCCTCTCAATGTAGGCCAGCCATCTCATTACACTATGGACTCGTATTGTGCTCTTGGTCCCCTAAAACACTGAGATCTTTTTGAGACAAAACTGTTTTTAACCCCCCCAGTCCACTCTATGAAACTGGTTTTTTGAACCCAAGTGCAACATAAGACTTTACAATTTTCCCTATTGAATTTCATCTGATTAGATTCATCCCAATCCTTTACCCTGTTAAGATGTCGAACAGCAGAGCTAACTACAGATGCTGGGATACTCCACTGGAGATCCCCTACCAAGATGACATTGAGCCATTAGCAACTACTCTGAATCAGGCCATTCAAACATAATCCTTTTTACTCCCTACTTCCTGGGAATCTCCAAAGAAGCCACCTTGCTCCTGACTGGCAAATGATATCCTGGAGGTCTTAGCCCTGGAGCTGCAGCCCCAGGGCCCCTGCTACCTTGTGTGTTACCTGGCCCACTCCTTTCTGGCAGGCTTCAGCCAAGCTTCACGTTAACCCCTACTCCCCCAGAGATGCCACTGCATTTCCCCTCTCTCCAGTTCTGGAGTCATAAATTAATACTGCTGTTGCCCCTGAAAAGATCAGCTATTGTGGTGAAATAAGCAGAGGTTCTAGTTCTGTTAATTCTGTGATCTTTTTAGACCTGAGGTTTCTTGTTTGAATTAAAGGACTGGTCTAAATAATCACCAGCATCTCTTCCAACTCTAGACTTTAATTATTCTACCTTTTCTAAGTTCACATATTGTCTCCAAAAAAGTCTCTCTCAAACGTTATCTTTAGTGTGTTAGAATACTGGGTTTTTCTTCTGCCCCCAAAGCACAATGCAAGTCCTTTGGGCTCTGAGGTGATGTCAAGACCTCACTAGTCTCGGCATCTTCTGACAGCAGCAACTGAAGTTCTAACAACCCCTCCCTTGGTTTTCAGAAGGTGGGTGAGGTAGAGAGGTTTGCTGCAGTATAGTATATTGTACAATGCCATCATACTACCATTTGACACCGTGGAAAGTAAGATTCAGGTTAAAAAATGTTTTTGTTTTAAGAATTTTATTAGCTGTACAGTGTTTATAGTACTGTAGATTTCACATGTGAAACATGAATGTTGTCAGAAATCAATTTTTTTTTTTAAATTTAGATGTTAGCACAAAAGGTCACAGAATTCTAGGGATTTAATTACTAGCGAGAAAAAATGTTTAGCATGTTACCAATTTTATTTTGTGTACTATATTTTATGGCTTATTTCATGGTTATTGTATTAGGAAAAATGCATATTATCAGATTGAATGTTTTGTTATGAAGAATTATATGCAGAAAAGTGTATTTCCAGCAGTCTATAGCTCTTATTTCTAAATGTGAGCAACAAAGTAAGTAGACTATTCTTTGTATAGTTGTTTTCTGCAGCTTCTACCTCTAAAGGTAAGTTTAGAAGTTGATTTTCACCTATATAATTGTATTTGCCTCTCCCACCTCCCTACATACCCTAACAGTATTAAAAATATAGTAGCTACTTAAAAGAATTCCAAGGTCAGGAAATTAAAGAAATAAAGGTATGATATTTTTTATGAAGGATTTGTTGTTGTTCAGTTGTGTCCAAATTTTCATAAATCCATATGAGGTTTTCTTGGCAAAGATACTAAAATGATTTGACATTTCCTTTTCCAGTGGATTAAGGCAAACAGAGGTTAAGTGACTAGCCCAGGGTCTCAGAAGCAAGATTTGAGGCAAGATTTGAACTCAGGTCTGACTCCCCACCCAGCTACCCAGCTGCCTCCTATTTATAATGGATAGGGCAAAATAAATTTGCCTATTAGTAATTTTTAGAGTCCAGTACAGGATTGGTTACTATTTTAGTCTGGCATATATGTAAAGGACATAATAAGATAAAAGTTATAATGTGGCTACTTATGCTTTTCAGAATGTGTGTATTTATGTAAATATGCCCTAGGACAAACATCTTTTTTAAAAAACCTGAATAAATAGTTCCCTTGTTCCTGTTTCAAGTGAGTCCGTGGACAATAAAAAAAAGTTAACTTTTATTTTAAGCTTTGATATTTGTCCTCCCTACTAAATCCAATTCAGTTTTTTGATCTGTTGATTTTCTAATGAGGATGATATATAGAAACGCAGAGAGAAACAGAAGTAAGACTTACTGAAAAATCGCACCGACATTGAGTTCACCATTCATAAATATTTAATGTTCCTCTTCTAATATTTGAGAATGCCAAAGGTGCTGTTATAGAGGGAAGGGGAAAGGCAGGAGGAGTGTCAGCAAAATTATTAGGCTGTAGCAAAGGCAGTATCACCTCACGTCGTAGCTGTGGATGCATCATAGACTGACAGCTGCAATGGACCTCAGAGGGTCCCTGATCCAACCAACCCTCTCATTTTACAGATGAAGAACTGAGGGCCCAGGAAGCTAAGTATCTTCTTTAGGGTCACACTGAGTAGTTCATCTCAGAGGTAGAATTTGTTTTTGTTTTTTTGTTGTCTGTTTGTTAGTCAACAAGATTTTTTTTAATTAACAAAAATTTATTTTCTCTCCATCCCAGCTCCCACGTATGCCCCCCCACCCCCACTGAAGAAAAACAAAACCCTTATAACAAGTACATATGGTCAAGCAAAACAAGCCCACATTGGCTGTATCCAAAAATGTCTGTCTCATTCTGCACCCCGAGTCCGTCACCTCTTTGGCAGGTTGTGTGTAGTGGGAAAGTGAATTTAAGTTTAGGGTTATCACTTCATCACTTACGCTCTGTTATTGAGGTTGATCATTCCATTGATCAGAGTTCTTCCGTCTTTCAAAGTTTTTTGCTTTCCATTGTTGTTATTGTATAAAATTTTCTGGTTCTGCCTGTTTCCCTCTGAATCAGTTCACAAAGTCTCCCCAGTTTTCTCTGCAGTGCTCTCCTTTTTCCTCTCTTAGGGCACAGTTGTATTCCATTATGTTCATATGCCAAAATCTGCTGAGCCTTTTCCCCTTTAATGGGCAGCCCGTGGTTTCCAGTTCAGAGGCAGAATTGGAATCCCAGTCATCTGACTCCAGAGCCAGAGGTCTGTCTACTCTGTCACCTGCTACTCCCCCTCTAACTTTTCTGTCTACAGACATTGCATCAGCAGTTCTGTCCCATCGTGACATTTATTAAAGCAAGATACTATGCTAGAGAGGACAAAAAGACAAAAAGAAGTGAAGTTGGGGGGAGGGGAGAATCCAACACATGCACAAATAAGCACATTAAGGGACATTACTAAAGGAGAGAGCACCTAGGGAGTGGGGGATGGGAGTCAGGGGTGGCTTCTAGGCTGAGCAGTGCTGGAAGAGCCCTAAATTTGGAGGTACAGGATCTGGACTCAAACCCTTACTACCTGTATCACCTTGGGCAAGTCAAATCACCTCTGGGCCTCACTGTGCTCACTTCTGTTATACTAGATGTTCTGTAAGGTCCCTTTCAGCCCTCTATGATCCTGTGACTCCCATGGGAGACAACTTGGGCAGCTACACAGAATTAGGGGAATGAATGGTGAGTAGACCAGTTTAGCTGGAATGTAAAATTTATGAGGCAATCAGTTTAAATAAGGCCAGAAAGGTAGGCAAGAGCCAAATTGTGGAGGCTCTTAAATGCCAGATTGAGGAAATTGTGTTTTATGCCCTAGGCAATGGGGAACAACTCAAGTTTTTTTTTTTTTGGTTTTTGGGGGGTTTTTTTTGCCTGTATCTTGTGAAGATTATTTTTTTTTT